ATCTACTCGAGGCTGGTCACGCAGACTGACCAGGTGGGCACGGCTCATGCCAACGCCAGCATCACACTCTTTTGCCCACCAGTTATTCCGAGCACGAACTTAAAGCTTTTTATGTCACCAGCACGTGGAAACACCACGTGGCGTTAAAGGCCTTCATTTGGCCTGGTCCCGAGTGCCGTCCCTGGCCACTTGGGGCTGGCAGGCATCATCTGGAGCGCAGGGTGGGCCCTGGAGGGTCTCTGTGGTGGGCATCCTGTGCGCCCACTAGCCCGGCCTGGCCGCGCTCCCTGCCTCTACCCCACCCTGCCTGTCACTTCGTGGTTGTCCCTCACGAAGGTGCAAAACTGTCCCCGAGGCTGAGAAGAACGAGAATTGAAGGCTCTACAAACGCCTGAAATATTAGCACCTCTTCCAGCAAAGTGACACACAGCATTGAGTTACAGTCCATTAGGCGTGGAGTTCTGTTAGCCCGTGGAGAACAGTCACGAACGCCTCTGCTCAAGAAACTCGCCCCCGCCCCCCTCGCTCTCCTTAGGAGACCTGTCTGCTCGAGCATCTCTGAGGACTGTCCCGGGCATGCGATTAGCCACAGCCTGGAGCCACGGGGGGCACGGTGGCCTCCACTCCAGGCTCTGCACTGACCCTGGCCCCAGCCCCTGGCCCCCAGCAGCTGAGAGCTCGCCTCCACCAGAACGGGGACCAGGACTCCATAGCCAGTTTGCAGTGAGTCCACTGCTTGGATAACAGAGGCAAAAGGCGCAGAAAGGTTCTGAAAACCAGGCGCGACGGCCAGAGGATGCCGCTCAGGACACCCTGCTCCCGTGGCACTGCCCGTTGGCACCAGGGATGCCCATGGCTCTTGCTAATTCCCTGGCTGACAAGCTGGAGCAAACAGGCCTCACAGAGAGGAAAGCTGGGTGAGGACAGGCACGGCGGCCTGGGGTGCCCACTACCCCTTGAACGGACACTGCCCACACCCCCCGTCCCCCACCCCCAGGAGGGGCCAGAGTCCGGCAGCCAGTGAAGCACAGACCGTCCCCACCAACGCCCAGAGCCACAGGCGAGGGCCCACAGTCTCGGAGCCCATGCGCCTCCGTCCCGACCGCCTGGCCCACGTGGGAGGGAAGGGCCGTTTTCACAGAACGGAGTCGTGAGGATGACACGGGCCTCGGGAGCGTGGGAAGGGGCTGGCGTGGCCCTTCTCTGTGACTGAGGGGCGGCCACATGCACACCCCGCCCTGCCCGAGGCCACGCAGACAAACGCAGACGTGGTGTCCCTCACTGACCAGCACCGCTTCCGGAAAGGTCCCCACGGGCTCAGCCACACCAGAAGAAACAGAACCGGGAGGTTCCGCCTTTCCACCTCAAAGAGGGCAGCGTGGTGGAACCTGGACGCAGGACGGCCCTGTGGGCAGGATGTGCAGCTGGTGGGCACCCCGGCAGACTCCTGCCTCCTTCCAGAGCGGCAACGCTGGGCACACGGGATGCGACGGGCGCCTCCCCTGCCCACCTGACCCCGCCTGCCCCTCCCCGCGCAGGACCAGGGCAGCCCGGGCGCCAGGCTCCTCAGGCGGCTCCTCAGTGGTTTCCACCCCTCAGCTCGGAGAGAAGCGATAGACGGACGGTCTGCAAGGAAACTGCTCCAGGCCAGAAGCCCCTGACAGCTTCCAAGAGCGGGAGATGGCCCTAGGCTAGCAGCTGTGCACAGAGGACACCCCCTGCACGCCCCAGCAACACCCCCACCCGTGCAGGCAGTGCATACACCCAGGAAGCACACATGCATACACGTATACACACGAGTTTTGCACCACACGCAGGAACTGCACACAAGCTCATGGAAACACCATGCACATGCACACACCCCCATGTAAATACCCATGTACATGCAAATACCTATTCGCTCATATGTGCACATACCATGTACATGTGCAAACACGGCTCATGCACACACACACCCACACCTATGCAATGCATGCCTGTACACGGCCATGTACTTGCATGCATACACACACACACACCACAAATAGGCCCATGCATACATACACCGTGCACATGTGCATACGCAACCCACCCCCACCCCAAGACATACTGCACACACCCATGCACATACACCCACATACCACACGTGTGCACATACAACCATGTATGCGTACAACTCTGCATACACACGTGTACACCCACACCATGTACGTACACTCCATGTGCACACCCATATCTGTGCACATGTGGATACTGTATGCACACACCCAAACCCATGCACTGCACAAACACACGCAATCAGTCTATAATCCGATCGCATACATCCTGCACACACATCCACACAGGTACACACACACCCCTACACACACGTGCACATACTCTGCACACACATGCACCCACACCCATGCAGTGCCACATCCATGGACACGTGCCTACACAGTGTGCACAGGTGAATACACCCATGCACAATCCTCTGTGCACACACCCTACACACGTGTGCACAGGAGCTCATGCTCCTGCACACACACACACAGAGCACGCCTGAGATCACTTATTTTCCAGCACAGTCAGAGAACACATCTGGGTACCAAACCACACAGCCACCGTTTCTAACCAAGTCCCTGCTGCTGTCCCGCTTCTGCTTCCGCTGACATTGTCCCATGGCTGGAACAGCCCTCCAGACCCCACGTGGCAACCCAGGGGGGCTGTGAGCTCTACCCGATGGTCACAAACATGCTTTTAAAATGCAACAGAGCCAAGGGAGGGGGATGGGTGTGACCCAGGCACCAGAGGAGGGGGAAGATGGGCAGTGCGGGAGGGGAATGGATGACCCCGGAAGTGGGGGAAGGGTGGGTGACTTGGACAGTGGGGGGAGATGCCCTGGGCAGTGGGGGAGGGATGGATGAGCCGGGCAGTGGCTGGAAAGGCCTAAGGAGCCTTTGGTGGGTCTTGCACCACCGGTTGTGACAGGGCTGACAGGCCAGGTATATTTCCTGCTGTGAGCTGGACCCCCAGCTTTGGGAGCCGATGACTCAAGTCTGTAAACCACGATTTTTCTCACCTCAGAAGACTTCGAATGCCACTTCCCAGTTAAACGGAGAAAATCCGGCCCCTAAATTGATGGTCCTCCCAGTGCCCCCGGCGGCCTGCCCCGCCCAGGCCACCTCCCTTGGGTGGCAGCCGCCACCTCCAGGCAGGGGGGGGGGCCTCTGCTGTGACGGGCTTGCGGGGGGGCCCCGCGGCCCAGGACACCGCCCCTACAGCACGGGCACATTCCTAACGCACCTGCGAAGTCACAGGACGTCCTCAGGTTCCCAGACGGGGGCGGGACCTCTCGGGGTCATTTCCTGCCACACGAGTCCATCAAACACCGAGGCAGGTGTGCCCCAGACTGAGCGCAGGTGCCCTCAAGGTGCCCGCAGCCCCAGATACCCCGACGAACCCCAGGCCCTCCCTGGGGTTCCTCCGGCTTGGCACCAAAGCATGCCCACCCCCACCTACCAGTGGGATCTCAGAGGCCGGGGCTATGGCCGCCTTCCGGGGGGAAGGCCCGTGCTTCCTGGAGACTGCCAGCCGGGGCCTGGCTGGACCACGCAGCCCTGTCCCTCCCGACTCTGGACGTGCCAGTCTCTCTGCTGCCTAGGGGTGGGGGAATCGTCCCTCGGCCACCTGAGCACGGACCACGAGGTCCTGTGGCCGGTCCTGCCTGCATCTTCTGCGCCCTGCACCTGGGTGACCTTCAAGGCTGCGGCGTTTGGGAGATGCTCGAGGGGCTGACGCCAGCTCAGGGCACACGTGTTCACAGGGCTATGCCTTCGGCAGCCCCAGGCCCCCTCCCTCCTGGCTGGCTCCACAGCCCTGAGAGAGGCGCTGGACCCCGGTCAAGCAGGAGGGACGCTCCAGACCCCGGCACTACCCTCAGGAGGCGCGGGCTGAACAAGTCCCTCAGGACGTCTTTAGACTTTAGCTGCACCTGGGAGCACGGTTCACCGCACGTGATGTGTACGTTTAAAGTAGCGTCAGAGACTGAGGGCAACGTGGTGGTCAGCACCTGGACGGCATTGCTGAGGGCCACCCTTCTGATCCTGAAACGCTGAGTCACGAGTTCACGGGTGTTGGAGCCGCTGCTAGGGGCCCACCAGGCACCCCAAGGGCCCAGGTCCCTGCTTCTCTGGCCCCTGAACCTCGCACCGCTGGTCTGGGCGCCGACCCTGAGCTGTGAGCGCCCGGCCGCCTTGGCCAGAGCCTGGACCCGTAGCGAGTCCCATGTCCAGTGGACGGTGGGGGGCCCTTCAAGCCTGCACACGTTTGACCACTGGAGTGTGGCCCAGGAAGCAGGGGGTGACCTTCAGAGGGAGCCTGAGAGGACCTGGCCCCCCAGCGCGTTCTGGGTGCCCACCGTTCCTCTGACGTGGATCTGACGCGTTTACTGCCAGGCCCGACGCAGACGAGGGGGGGCCAGGTGGCGCTCTCGGCCCCACTTGCAGCTGCTCACCAGGTCCCGTCTACCTGAGAAAGCTTCCCTGAACCTGCCCAAGGCCCATTTTCTCCCAAGTGATAAGAATTCGTACTTGGAATCTATGAAAGGAGAGAGATGGGTGGGAGAAGCTCGTGATGGGGCATCCGTGTCTTTCCAGACGGGCCCGCGGGCCGAGCGCCCACCCGGTGCCCTGGGCACTTCGTAATCGTCTCTCTCCCCCCACCCCGGCCCTCTGCAGCCCCAGGCTGGTCGGGAGGCAACACAATGTTATTGCTGCAGATTTCAAGACTCTATGAACACCAGAGCAAAACCCAGCAAAAGCTTACATACCCGAGAAAGACAGACACAGACAAACCAAACCAAAACCCACCCCACGACGGTTCCAGAACGATCCAGAACGTGGAGCTGCCCGTGGGGCCCCTCGTAGGCTAACCTGAGAGGCCGTGTTGGGAGAAGGGAGAGAACAGACCCCTGCTGTGCTCAGACAGACGCACGGACGGGAGGACAGTTACCTGCTGGCCCAGCGAGCGGTGGTCCTTACCTGGGAGGGAAGGAGATGTCCAGTTCATACAGTCTGTCCTTAAAGACAGACAGCTCTTTGTCAAATTCTAAGAGCTGAAGAAAAGAAACAGAAAAAAATATAGGGTCACTTTGGTTTGCCTCCCAGGGGGCACCGAGAAGCCCTGGGGGAGGGTCTGTCTGCAGCAGGGACCTGCAACTTCCGGGAAACAGGTGTTGCTCCAGCACCTGCCCTGCACATCACCCGGGCCGCGTGCAGGCCTCCCGAGGGCGGGCCCCCCGGGCGTGTGGCCGGAGAGACCCGGGGCACCCTGCAGGCCCTTCTGTGCGAGGCCTGCTCCGAACTCAGCCCCTCTGCCGCCGGCGCTGGACCCACACTGCCTGTGCTGACTGGCCACGCAGGGCCACCTCGCCCTGCTGAGACCACGGGGTGCAGCCGCCGTGGGCGCTGGCGTCGCCTCCGACGTGCCCTCAGGCAGTGTCCAGCAGAGAGGACACCGTTTTGCCCAAACTAAGTCAAGAGAGTAAGAGCACTGACCTCACACGGGAAGATAAAAAACAAGACCTGGCCCTGAGGGACTCTTCAGAGCCACACCCCACGGGGCACCGTGCCCCCAGGAGGGAAGGGCAATGGCAGTGTCTGGCCACCATGGCCACGCACACCCTGGGGACACGGTCATCACTCACGTCCCCTGCAGCCGTGCGGGAGCCCGAAGCCACACCCGTCCTCTCTCCCTCTGCTACCTTATCCATCACTCCCAGAGCGTGCAGTTACCGGTGCCGTGCACACAGCAATTACCGGGCGCCAGGCTGCTTACCTAAGCCACCTGCACGTGGCCCTCGCCACCGGGCCTGCGTGCACCAGGCCAGCCATCGGCCGGTCAGAGGGAGGCAGAGCTGACACCTCCCCCGGCAGGAGGCCTTGATGGCGTCTGTGGTTTGCGTGGGGGGATAAACCAAAGCTCCTTTTGCATAAACGGGACCACTTCAGACACAGCTGCCTGATTCCAGTCTCACAACAGGTTCCTGCAGCATCCTGGACACCCGGAGACGGGGGCACAAAGAGCCTCGGACCCTGCCTGGCGAGGCTTGGATACTGGACCCCACGGGTGACGCTCGTGAGCCCATATCTGCTGTGACGAAGCGCCCGTGTCAAACCTCACCCCACTCAGCACCCCCTGGCGGCCCTGCCGGGGGCCCTAGGGGGTGCAGGGCCAGCAGGGGGGATGCAGGATAGGGAGGGCCATGGGATAGGGCCAGGGTTTGGGGATGGGGGAGGGGAGGCACAGGGCGGGAGCTGTGGGTGCGGGAGGGGAAGCGCGGGGGGGGCATGGGGGGGCGGCCGAGCCCCTCAGCTTCCCGGCCCCAGTGGCCCCTGCCTCTGCATCGAGGAGAAACACACCCCACTTCCATGCAGCAGCCCAGAGGCCAAAGAGCTTCCGGAAGGTTGCAGAGTTAGCGCCTCAGGGGTGCCGGGGATGGAGAACTCGTGTGTGTGTGTGTGTGTGTGTGTGTGTGTGTGAAGCATGAGTGTGAGGCCTGGACCAGTCCCGTGCTTACACGTGTGTGCACGCACGTGGGGCTGGAGATGCCCTCGCATCACACTCGCAGGTGCACAACCCCCGCGGAGGCCAGCGAGCGTGTCTCATCCACACGCTCCAAGCGTGAATTCCTGGCCTTCGCAGGTCAGACGGGAAGACAGCCATGATGCTGCGTGGCGGCTGCAGGCAGGCGCGACCGTCAGGAGAGGTGCATCCATGGCACCCCTGACGACCGGCCACTGAGCCCGACGCTGGCGGCGGCCTCCTCCCCCCGGAGGACTCGGTCCAGCACCTGGGAACCTGCAGGCGGTGAGCGGCCCGAGCCTCACCCACCGAGAGCTGCCAAGCCTTTCAGCTTCTCCCAAATTTAACTCAGAGAGAAGAAAAGAAACATCCTGGACACAGTAAGTCCGTGAGGCGTCCCGACGGGCTCGCCGCCCCGTCCTGTGCGCGACGGGCACACGCGTGTCCGCAGAGCCCTGCACGCACGCTCAGTGCCGCTGCTCCGGCCCCGCCGCGGGGCCTCCCGCCGCTCCC